AAACGTCTTGGTGGACAACAGCTGGGTTGTGCCATACACCCCTTTACTCTAGAAAATCTTTTGAGCACAAATTAATGTGGAGCGCAATTCGGTGAAGTAATGGAGTACGTCTGCAAATACGCGAACAAAAGGAATGACATGGCACAGTTTGGCCTCGAACATACCACTGCAACGTTTAATGAGTTCGAGCGCTATCAAACAGGCAGGTGCATAAGCAGCTACGAGGCAGTTTGACATTTCCAGGGTTTCAGAATACACGAACATTATCCACCTGTCGTCCATCTACATGTCCATCTAGAGAAGGCACCGCGCCTAATTCAGTGCTTATAATCTGCGCAACCACCTCAACCAACTTTGATGGTATCTTTCCTTCTAGCATTGCAACTTCAGCAATGCGAAGTGGATTTGCGACCGAGCAGTGTGGCACCTAAAAAAGAGCAAGTGACTTCTATTGATGCCCAGATACTGACCAGCCTGCCTGGACCAGTATCAACTTACAAATACGTTGATACGATGGTTCAGCGTGAACAGACTGTTTACTTCCCCATGTCCTTATTTAATTCTTTTCTATTGATCTGGAGGCTGGTCTGCCAATCATGCTCCTTCTAAACATCAACCTACCGAAGTTGTACAATGGTAGAAAGCTTTGTATCAGGAACCCCAGCCAAACGGCATTGAGGCTACCGTTTTGGTGAATCCCCTCCGAATGCCTTTGGCTTCAAGCGACTGCAGTTTCCAGTCAGGCCTGCACTAACTATGACGATAAAAAGCGCAAGGGCAGTTTCTGCGAACAGTAGGAGTGGTCTTGAAAACTTTCTCCTTACGATTAGCATGGTCAGCTGAACGTGGCCTATTTAAGGGTCGAGAATCCGGCGAACCTGTACAAATAAGCGCTTGGAGGGAGCACAGCCAACGTAGTGTGTCTCAGGGCGCTATCATGATTGCATGTTGCATATTTGCAATCTCAGTTCATTTGTCGCATGCCAATTTATTGGAAAACCTAAAAAATTGGAAAATATAAAATCCAAAAAGGTGGCAAAACGAAAACCCAAGAAACTAGTGGCAGCGGCGATCAGGAAAGGAAGTGGGTGGGACAAACAAGGAAACTAAATAGATCCAATAGAGCTACCCTTCCTTACTGATGAGTTCCGGAAAAGCCTTGGACCTATGCAACCAAACCGTCTAAGGATAGGAACGAAACGGTACAACTAAGGAGCCAGGTTTTCAATTTTTGAGAA